GTATCGAAAATATAAATCTCTACCTACAAATTCAGCCTAAAAACAATTAGTGTAACTGATTCTGTTTTTGAAAATATTATTAATGATTCAAGCACGATTTCGGATATTGTATTAATAACAAGAAGATATCCTTGATTGATACGTCAGTGTCAAATGTAAATAACACTCCAGTTTTTAGTATAATGGACGTTTCTAATTTAAATCATACCTATGGTATATTTATGAAAAACAATACTACTCTTTTGGATGCTACTGTTGAAAACTATAAAATTATGTCTGAAACTCCTGTTTTACTTAACAATACAAACATTGACATTTCTATAATAATTCAAGAAAACGACAACAGTTCTCAAGAAATACAAGTACTTGATGATTCATTACTAGCTAATACATTAAATCAAGAGCAACTAATTAGTTCCTATTCAAATAATGAGGATCTGTTATTGTCAAATACAAGATCATTAAAAATATTGAAGTCAGAAAATATTATAAATAATATATCTACTGGTTCTACTAGAACTTCAAAAAACATAGTTCATTTAAGTAATGCAAGTTTTTGTAGTAATTCTGAAAATTCATTATTTTGGACAACATTACCTGACGAATCCACAAACATTTCAAGTACAAAAAATGTAAATATGAATACATTTCAAACGCCTAAAAGAAATAAATTATCTATTGCAGAAAACATAGTTAATACAATCAAAATCATGTCTTCAAATAATCAAAAATCTTTTCATCCAGGCGCTTTTGAACTTGATGATCATAATGAAGGTCCTTTAACAAGATCATTTGTAACACATTCACATAACCGCAGTTCTTCAATTCTAACTTTAGTTTATTATGGACAAAAAACGTCCAAGTCAACTTTATCACTTACACGATCTACCTATGAATTTATATTGGATCAATCACGAGTTGAAAAAAATGGAATGCAAAAGTTCAAATCTCTGTATAGGAATGAATCATGGATTACTAAACTTCTTTACAAATTCTTAATTATTAAATTGCAACAAGTTTATAATATATATCACATTGATGGACAGTGAGGATTGTCAAAAATAAGATAAAGCATACCTAAATAAATCAATGTTTTAGTACTGCTATAGCAGTACTGTCCCATTACATCAAATTTTGATGTACGTATGACAAAAATGTTATAATGCTGCTATAGCAGTAATACAATTTTTTTTATTCTTAGCACATATTTTGTACAAACAATGAAGAATAAATAAGTAATTAATAAAAAGATAATAATTTTAAAGATGATAAGATTTATTACAGCAAATTAAAACATATTAATAATAATAAATGTATCAAAAGAAAAATCAGGTATATTTTCTAAAATGTCACACCACGAGTCTGTGTCAGATACGTCGTCACTGCTATCATCACTGGAAGTTAACACAACTGAATTATCGTCGTCTGACAAATTGAACATTTGGGGCTGTTTAGGTTGCTGATTAGGCGGTGGACAAAAGTTCGTGTCATCATCTGAATCATCAAATATAGAAAAATCTGAATTGTAGTCACTTTCACTTACCTCAAGTAGGTGTTGTACTCTTCGTTCTTCTTCCGAATCCGTCACAGAACAATACAAATATGTAATTTAATTTAAATAATAAAACTGCTGAAACCACGTCGTCACGAACGGTAAATGTTTACTGACGTATTCTTGTAATATTTGTTGATAGTTTATAGTGCATACGTTATAATACAGACAACACGTTTATTATTATTATGATGGAAACGCCGTACGGTCTAAATATAATTATCTGCAATAGAAATAACGTGATAATATTTATTATCTATTTATAACATCATAATTATAGAAAAATAATATTATATCGGCCTTATTTTGTCAGTGCCCAATATTCCTTTATGCTGTATGGGGACAGTACAACTTGCTCTTTCATATGGTACCATTGAAAAAAACACTGCTATAGTAGTAGTGTCACTATTCGGTCGGTTTTTACAGTACTGTTATAGCAGTATTATTCAAAAATCAAAAGTGTCCACTGGCATCACCAAACAAAAATACTGCTATAGCACTACTTTTTCGTGACTGTCCGCCGATGTGATATTCGGTGATGTATGCAGAAAAGTTTGTCAAATATTTAGCACAGCTATTAAAAGAAATTTATAAAGATCAAGTAAATTTACAGTTGTGTACAGATATGTTGAGATACCACATGGCAAGATACCTATAGCATCATCAAAGATACATTTGATTACTAAGAGTTTTTGACTGATTACATACCAATGGTATATTAAAAAAAATAGTTCCTCGATGGAACCTTGAAACATCAGCAGTCAAATTTGATCCACAAAAATATTATATTCCTCTCACGGATGATGAAGAATTCTTAAATTATATTATGGAACACCTTAAAGCTTAATTATTTTAATATATCTCTATTTACCTATGGATAAATATAAATACATTTAATCAGTATTTTCATATATTTTCATATATTATTTTATTTTTTTTATATTTTTTTAGATTCTGAGTGAAACGATGAATGTATTGATTTTACAATGATGTGTGTTTTTTTTTTTATTTTTTTTGTATCTGTGTACACGATAAGTAGTCGAAATAATGCTTCGATTTTCGACTTCAGTATCTTGTTCGATTGGAAAGTGAATATCGTTGGTACATTGGGGAGGTCAAAATTTAAAATTCCCAGTACTTTTCAAAAGCGCCAAGAAAAACAAAAGAAAAATTAAGGAAAAACGGGAATTTTTACGCAAAATCAATTTTTCAGAAAATTGAATTTGGTTATTGGTGTAACTTTAAAACAAATGACCGTAGGTACATGCAATTTTCACTGGTTGTTTATATTTGCATCTTCTATACACGATAACATTTTCAAAATATTTTGATTTATTTTGAACAGTTTAGGGACATTTTCATTTTTCATTTTTTGTTAGTTTTTTTTCTAGAAATATCAATAAAATTTTATTTGTTGGTTGCGAAAGCTTGAAAATTTAATAGAAGGCTCCTAATATATTGTTTCAAAGGCAGATGAAAAATATTAAAAATCCTTAGTCACAATTTTTTTTATAAGCATTTAAAGTTCAAAAATTGACAAAATATGGAAAAATCACGAAAATTAGCAAATTATTTTGAGTTAAGAATTCGTAAAAATTTTTCCTTTTAAATCTAAGATTTGAAAATGTAATACAAGATTACTCATAAGTTTGTCTACCTGTATCAATAAAAAAATCTCTACCGGACAGTTAAATTAAATTTTTATGAGCGTTTGAAATTCAAATTTGTATAACATTGAATATTCACTCGATTTCTCATGTAGCGATTTCCTTATTTTGTTGTAATTCAAAAACGAATAACTGTAGATACATGACAATTTCACTGAATGTTTATATTAGCATTTCCTATACACCATATGATTTTGAAAATATTTTGACTCTTTTTGAGCTGTTTACGGACATTTTCATTTTTCAATTTGTTTAGTTTTTTTTTCTATGAATATCAATAAAGTTTTATCTGTTGGGCCAAAAAGTGTAAAAATTTAATACAAGGCTCCTGACATATTGTTACAATATCAGTTGAAAAATATTAAAAATACATAGGCACAATTTTTTTTTATAAGCATTTAAACATCGAATTTTGACAGAATTTTTCAAAATCTCGAAAATTATTAATCATCGTAATTAATAAATTATAAAATGTTCAGTTTTTATAGCTAAGGATTGAAAATTTAAAACAAGATTCCACGTAAGTAGTTAATTCTCTTACCGAAAAATCTAAAAAATATACAATCAGTTTATTTTTATAGTCATTTTATGTTCAAATTTGGACGAAATTACATATTAAAAAACCTAGTTATTTTGTTGTGATTATATAATATTACTCGTGGGTACCTACTTGAAACTTCTAAAGTGTACTATTATATATCTATGATAGTATCAGGGTTTGTTATTGATGTTGATGTATAACGTGTTATAAGTACCTAATGGATATTGTGATAATGTGATATGATTAATTTGGAATTTATTATAGGTCAATTTTCTTTTTAATACCATAGATATGTATATAATTTGTCTTAAACCTAGACTGACATACCGTCTTCGCTCAGAATCGTTTTTCTTATACAATGATATTGTATCATTGAATTCAAATTTAAAAGCATCCATTATACAGTGACCCACTTGTAACCTACTGTACAGCAGAGCGACATAAACTTACCCACCTTTTTTTATTATTGTTTCGTCATTATTTTATTCTGTATGAAGTAGAGATGAGAACATTTTACATCAAAATATATATTATTTGCCTTAAAGAGAGTATAGTTGACAAAATGCTCTTATCATATATTTTGGTGGAGGTTTGTTGTTTCAAATTACATCTAGTTGGTTAAGAAGGTTAAAATTGAAAACTCTCAGTATATTTTAATAAACTGGAAAAAACAAAAATAAAATCTGAACATTTTCTAATATGTTAATATCATTTTTTAAATAATTGTTTGGTTACCTTATTTACCAACAATTTAGACCGTCTATACATAGATATTCTTCAATTTATTTTAGTTTGACCAATTGCACATAAGACATTGTTAGTTGTTACCCAGTTTGCAGATAACTATTTGGCCATCTTTCAAAAAACTAAATGTAAACAATTTGATATAGAATTCTTAAATCTTTGTGCATGCCCAAATAATATAGTGCTTAAAATTTTAAAGCAAGTGATTCTATTGGTTTTTCTATGTACTGTTTACCTTACTATAATCAAGTAAAACAATATTTAAAAATACTTAAATCATAATATTATGTAGGTAATAATGATGAGTCTACACAGGACAAGGAAATAAAACTGAAACATGAACTAAACTTTTTCCAACACTGACAAGATGGTAACCAGACTTTGTGTGGACCCGGCTTAAGAACTTATATCCAAAATATTTTTAATTTGGGACCCATCCACCCAACCACATCCTTCGAAATATATTCCTGGGAGGAATTCAGATGAATTCAAATTAAAAGCTTGTTTTAAATTGTGAATTGTAATTTCAGGATAACCTATTTTTAATACACATAATAATTATTAAGAAATTAGGAATTGTGATATTTAGGTACCTACTATTTTAGAAATAACATTAACAATTAATTAACAACAATAATATTGGTAACATTTATAATATATATCATTGATTGAATTTTAAATGGGTATAACCTATTAAAATTGAATTACCTATTGAAATGTAATTACTACCTATTATTGTTTATTTATTAAAAAAACATTATAAGAAGGAGATTAGAAAAGATTCTTAACATTAAATAATGTAGAAAAATATTTGTTCATACTTACTAATAAGAATACCATATAAAGTATATAAGTATCAAGTATTTGAAATCCTGCAATAAACTGACAAAATAAGTGATAATTTTTTTCATCTAAATGAAGTTATATTTATCCAACTCAGCAGGGTCACGCTAACTATAAAAAGAAAAGAGTGCCTTTAAATGCATACATAGGCAATACAACACTCAAAAACTTAACGCGTATAATAGTACAGACGTAAGCAACACGATTTACGAAAAAAATTTCTTGAGAAAGCATAGCAAATTTGTAGATAAAAATTATGAAGTTTAAAAATACAATCATCTAATTGGAAATTTCACGTAGCTGCATTTACGCATGCTGTATTTTTCAAATCATTTTGAACAATATCAACAGAATGTACTTAGCTTATTTTCAACATTATATTAGATAATAATCCCCGCGGCCCGCACAATGCGCTATCCGATACCAATGACAACCAATATACGTAAAAAAAAATTCCAACTTCTTCTATTACTATTGTAATGGGGATGGCATTTTCACTTGTTTGATTTTTGAAAAACAGCCGGATGTGCTGGTGACCGGTTGTTTCCGTTTAACCATCATTGTTTTTCATTAGCTCAAATACATACCCATTTTTATAAGATTTTGAAAAAATATTATATTATTGTGCACTAATAAATTATTGTCGCAATGATTAATTAATTATTTTTGGTAATTAATATTGGTAATCAATAATTAATAGTT